CGGTGCAGCAATGAAGGAGTGAAAACCCCAAATCCCTGTAAACGTTCATTAAAACTAATAAAATTTAATAATAATAAAAAATTAAAAAAAAAAAAAAGAAATCCCTACGTCAGGACAGTTTTCAAAACCAGAACTCAGAAAACCCTATGTCAGGACATTCCCCAGAACCAGAACTCAGAAGTTCCCGTATCAGGACCTTTTCCAAAACCAGAAACTTTATACCCCAACGCGCTACTACAATGTCAACTTATCTCAGAACCCCCTAAAACACACTTGCTAAAACCCCATATAAATGTCCCTAAACCCAAGCCCCAGTGCTACTCCCCTTGCTGAACAGCCCAGCGTCTGATAAACTTTGAGAAATGTTAAAAAAAAAAAATAAAAGACAATGATGGTTTAAGACCTCGCAGAGGAGAATGTAACTGCACTCAGGTCACCGTGGCCTGCGGGGGAGACGGGCCACAGAGGAGTCTGACTCCACGTGGCGCCAGGCACAGCCACCCACTCCGTAAACTCATTACTGAAGAGTAACCAGGCGTAGATGGGTATGGAAAAACGGCAGAGGCGAGAGGAAACCGTTTTCACACACGGACCGTCAACCCGTGGAGGACGACTACATTTTCTCTCTCATCTTCACGAGCCCGTGTTTTAGTTTGGAAATCGTACCGAAAAAAAAAACACAAAACAAAACAAAACCAACCCAAAACAAAACCAGCAGCCTGGCAAGCCAGGAAGAAACTAGTTACAGAGGGTGGAAAATAGTTGTTTTTTTTTCTAAGAGGGCTGGTGGGAGTTGGAGGATATGAGATGAGAGAAGAAATGAAGAGGTGCTGTTACGTAGCCCGCTGAGGCCACAGGATAGACGTGTCCTTTAAAGAGACGGGGAACAGCACTGAAGTGCAGAAGGTTCTCCAGAACATTCTGAAGCATGTCAGCTTGCAGGCGAGTGCCACGTTATCAAGGGCAGAAACAACACAATCTCAGAGACAGAGATCTTGAGGAAGATCTTAACTGGAGGTCAAGGCAGCACACGTTCGGATCTAAGCAGGCATCAAGGGCAGAGAGAAGAGAGAGAGGCTCTGCTCAGAGAACACGGATGCCACGACAAGATGAACAGCGAGGTGTGAACCAGCTGGATATCCGGAGAGCTTTGGATGGAAAAAGTCCACCGAGGGGCTGAAGCCAGAAAATACGGCAGTTAACGGCAATAGAGAGGGAACTGGGAGAACAAGTAGAATTAGTGTGAGCTGGAGAACTCCGTTTGTCTATTGGAAAGATGATATTGTTGTTGTTCCATTTGTCTCTTGGAAAGATGTTGTTGTTGTTATGTGCCTTCGAGTTGCTTGCGACTCATAGCGACCCTATGTACAACAGCCCTAAACTCAGCTCTGTCCTGTGCCAATCGCACTGCCTCTGACACTCCCATCCCGATTATCCCAGTCACTGAATCAATCCACCTCATAGAGGGCCTTCCTCTCCTGCGCTGTCCCTCTACCCTCCCAAGCATGACGTCCCTCTCCAAGGACTGGACCCTCCTTGCAACATGTCCAAAGTATGTTAGACGGAGCCTCAGAATCCTTGCCTCCAAGGAGCCACCCGGTTTAACTCTCTCCAGGGTGAATCTGTTTTCTTGGCAGTCCAGGGTATATCCACTACTCTTCTCCAGCACCACAGCTCAAAGGCATCAATTCTCCTTCTAACATTCTTAGGCGTTATCCAGCTTTCTGATGCGTAGCAAGTAATTGCCAAAGAAACCTTGAAAAGAGAGCTCCTGGAATTTCCTAGCAATCCAGGTGGCTTCGCGCATGGGCCACGCAGACGTGCCTGGCAACTACCCCGCAGCGCAGTGCAATCTCTTTAGTAAGGCTTTTCTAGCCGTTGGCTTTGAACTCCCACCAGGAAGTGACTTCGGAGGGCTACCCACGAGATTCCTCCCGTGATCCGGAGGGCTGGGCGGTAAATGAGGATGACAGACGCAGCGGCGAGGCCTTTGAGCTGTGGGGCTGGAGTGTCCTGAACATCCCACGGACGGCCAAGGGAACAAACAGATCTGCCTCGGAGGAGACCCAGTCAGAGTGCTCCGTCGAGACCAGGACGCCGAACCCTGGTCTCACAGCCTCTGGACATGTTCTCAAAGGGCTTTGGATGAAGACAGCACGCTTGGAAAGGTGGAGGGTCAGAGAAGGGGACGATGGACACAGCGGCAGCAGCAAAGGGCTCGAGCGTATCAGAGATCGGTTAGGACGGCACAGGACAGGGCGGGGTTCCGATCCGTGGCTGTGAATCGCAGCTCACTCGGTGGCATCTAATAACGACGGGACTGGCTAGCTCTCCGGGATGAGAATCTGGGACACGGCACTTGTGACTTCTGCAAGGAACGAGGTAACTGTAACCGCAGTCTACAAGCCGTGTGGACGCGGCAAAGAGCCGAGAAGTACAGAGAGCCTGCAGGGTGGGAGGCCTGGAGAGCGAAGGTGCGCCTGACCCGCGCCCAGGACCCAGCCGTGCACCGACCGGGTTCTCGTGCCGCTTCCTGACATCAGACGAGGTCTCATGTCACAGAGCACAGCTGGCTTCACAGGAGGGCCGCTCTGGCTTTAACCAGCCGGGCTGGGGAGAGGCGCCTGCTTCGGGGAGCCCAGCTGCAGAGCGGCCAACCCGAGCTTCCCTACGATCGGGAGGGGAGCCTGCAGTAACTGACCTCTGGCCAGCCTGGTGGGGGACCTGCCCAGTCTCACCTTCGCCTGGACGGCCTGGGAGCTGTCCTCTGTCTGCCACGAAGACTGGCTTCCCTGAAAGGCAGAGATAACGAGGACTTTGAAGAGGCGTCCTGATGGACGATATTCAAGAGGGGCAAGTGAGCCCACCTCTGGACGCTAGGGGCCTGTGTCAAGACTCAAGACTCTCAGAGCCGAGCAAGGAAGGTCGAGGAAAACACGCAGAGCTGAGAAGGCAGCGGGGGAAGCTGCGACCAGCAGCTGCAGAGCACGTGAACGTGGATGGTGGGAGTGGGGCACAGAGGCTGAATCATGTCCAGGACCTGACAGGTAACACTTGGAGGGAAGAGGCCCACGGAGCGGGGCCCACCGCAGACGAAGGGGCAGCCAAAGGCCGATGGAGACCAGGAGGTGCTGGGAAGCCTGCCTAGAGCAGCTGACACTTCCCAAGAAGGGACACCTCCTGAGCGATCCCGGAGCCGGCCAGGAGAAGCTGGGGCCAGCTCGGCCGTGAGTCACCGCGGAGTCCCAGGGGGTGATACTGTGACATCACAAAGCCGGATCTGGTGTCCTCACCGAGGAAAGTGAGCAGGTGCGTCCAAGAAGGTAAAGCAGATCCCTTCAGGGGTTGGACTTAGATGCAGCAAACGCAGGTAGACCTCATCCTGGGCGTCTCATTTATATCCTCTTGTCATAGTGTTCCGGGAGCTCTGCCAGCCTAACGGGTAAGGACTTGTGCTTCCCACCCAAGGGTGGGTGGATCGAATCCACTGGGTGCTCCGGGAGGCAGTCTCCTCCCATGCAACATACAGTCTCTGAAAAGTCACTGGAGGGGTCCTGGTTTTCAAAGTGTTCTGGGCTACAGGCACCTGGTGGGACAGTGGTTAAAGACCCTGCCTGTTGGGCACAAGGCTGGTGGTTTGAATCCACCGGCTGCTCTGAAGAACACTGAGGCTGTCGACCTCCCCGAGATGTTCAGCCTTGGGGACGGTCCTCCGTCCCACCAGGTCATCAGGAATGGGAATCACCTGCAAGGCAGGAGGCGGGTACGACATCCTGCGCTTTTATCACAGACGCGGGGTTTCACTGACGTCTCTGGAGCAAATCAAACCCGAGAACAGAAGGACGTACAGAGGGAGAACAAAGGGCGTCAGGAATAACGGACGGGCGTGAGCGCCGACTTCCAGGAAGCAGCTGTGAGCTGATTCTCACCCCCCAGAGATCTCATCTCTGCAGACCTGAGTCAGAACCCGCTTTGGGAGAGGATACATGACGCTACAATGTAGTTTTTTAAAAAAAACAGCCAAGATACCACCGGTGGATTCGAACCTCTGGAGAGGCGCAGGCTGTGGTTGCAGCACCACTCCCTGAGGACTAAGCTACCAGAGCTGCCTGCCCACGTTGTGAGCACAGCTGGGTCTTGAGGCGACGCGCAGCTGACCGTCCAGCGTCTGATCGCACCGGAGGAGACTGCCCAGCGTTCTCCACAGAGCGGCTGGAGGATTCGAACAGTATACCTTTGGGTTGGTGGTACAACCCTTATTAGGAAACCAGCGTTCACGCTGTTGTTGTTATTGCTGTTGATTGCCTTCAAGTCGAGCATGACTCACAACGACCCTGTCAACACAAGGCCTGAAGCCCCTCTACAACTAGTGACATTTCTCAAAGTTCACAGTTTCCAGAGGCGTGTTATTTAGGAAGTGGATGCCGCTCCTGCTTTCAAACCTGTCAGAGTATGTTATTGCTGTTCTGTGCTGCTGAGTTGCCTGCGATGCATAGTGACCCTTTGGACAGCAGCTCTGAACCCTGCCCTGTCCTGAGCCAGTCTCACGAATTCCGACACACCAACCCCCATCGCCCTGCTCACAGGATTAAAACATCAAAGTAAGTCGACTCTCTGTAGACTGAGACCTGGAAGACGGAACGTAAAGATCTGAGAGTCCTGAGTAGAAAGTGATGCACTCAAAAATATCAAAAAGAAGATGAAATAAATAGGAGCGTGATTAAAGGAGTGTAGTCACTCCCGGGGAGCAGGACGTAAGGACATCATCTGGCATCTCCAGACACCCCTGAAAGCAGGGTGCCTGCCCGGGCTGCCCGCGACGCCCACGGCCTCCCTCCTCTGCTCCCTCACCTGGGAAGACCCCGCGGCGGCTTTCGTCCGACGGGGCCCACGGTGGTCCTCCCGGTTCCAACACGGAGAGCGCGTCGGGTCTGCGGACGTGACACCCTGTTCACGAGAAATCACAGGAGACTTGGACAACGCCGCCTTGGCCTTGGGATTCTGAAGGGGGCAGAGGGTTGTATTTGTAAAAGAAAAAAAGACTACTGTCAAAGGCACTAATGAAAGGGTTTCCTGCCAACAGAAGAACGAATCTGCCTTGCTTCTCCAGGGGCAGAGACACAGAGGGGAGAGGGGGACAGTCAGGGTCTGAGGCACCGCGGACAAGCCGGGGGTCTCAGGAGCGGAGACGGGAGAAGGCAGTGACAGCACAGCGGTCCTCACCCACGGACACCAGGTGGTCGTAGTTCTCCCGCATCACGTCCCAGTACAGGGCCTTCTGAGCAGGGTCCAGGAGCTGCCACTCCGCCCAGGAGAACCTCACGGCCACGTCGCCCAGCGTCACGCCTTCCTGCATGAAGTCAACTGCGTTCAGTGAAATCCTTCCCGCCCGGATGCAGTGTGCTGGGGGGCATCAGCCCACCTCCTCCACGCGACCTGCTCCATCTATAAACACACACCCATCGATTCAGGGGTGTGCGTTCCACCCTTAATCTGCTCCCAACTACTGGGGGGGGGGGACACACGATCTAACAACACAAGGCTTCAATAGTCATCGCAGTTGTTACGGACTGTGGAGTCGAAACAGACTCATAGCTGATTTTCAGAGGCAGAAAAATCACACGGGAGGAGACTGTCCACCTTCCTCTCACGGGGAAGCTGGTGGATTGCAGCCTCCTGCCTTCGGAACGGCAGCATAATATTCCATCATTTCATCATCACATACACGTATGCGAGGGGCACATGACGTAGGCTATGGCCACTGCAAATAAGGTCACACGGATTAGGGAGCTCTGGTGGCCTGGCGGGTAAGGAGCTGCACTGCCAATCCAAAGGCCCGTGGTTCAAATCCACCAGTGGCTCGGCGGGAGAACGGTGGGAGGCAGATCTGAACCGTGTCGTCTCCTGTGCAGCCTCTCGTGATCTCGGACACCCCGGGGTTTACCCTAGTCACCCTGTCCTCCCATCTGGTCGGGGGTCTGCCTCTTTTGCCAACCCTCTGCCTTTCCAAGCCAGCTGTCTCCCTCCAAGGCACAGCCTCTCCTAGCCACACGCCCAGAGCATGTGAGAGGAAGCTTCACCATCTTTGTCTCCCAGGAGCACTCTGGCTAACCTTTCCCCACCCCCCCAAAAAAAATTAATAGAATTTTATCACAAGAATCAGATGCATTTTGAAACCAGCTGCACAGGACTTGACCGGCCTCATGTCTGCAGCCGGAAGGCTCCTAGCCTTCACTCATCAGCCTGCCGGACTGTTCCTTTTTCGGAGACATAGACAACATCTACAAATTTCCAGCTAGCCTTGTTTCTAACTGTTGAAGCCTGCTGAATCAAAGGAGCTGAATTCGATACAAGCTCAATGTCATTTCCTTCAAATTAACGCATCTCTCTGGGCTTGAGATACTGAGATCCCTGGTCTCATACGTACTCTCTGAATGTATTTTTCACCCAAGAAGTTTCGAATTTCAACCAGAGATGAGTTCCTTTAAACCTCAACGTTGATGGAGCCATGAGCACACACAGACCTCATCGTGTAACGAAAGCCCCGTGTAACCCCCTTGATCGCGTTCGGTCTGTGGCTACAGACGGTGCGATTGGGAGCCAGGTCCTTCCTGTTCCCCCACCGTTTGTCAGGACGAAGCCTCTTCTTTTCCTTTGAGGAGACTGAGCTCTACGATGATGTGATTTGAGGCCCTCCGTGAGGGCCCCCGCGGGCCTTTCACGATCACTGTGTGACTCAGACCCGTCAGGGGAGTGGCTCACGCGACTGTGGTGATGCAGGTGGTTTTCCAGAGGCCGGTGAGCAGTGGAGACTAGGAGCTGCAGTGCAGGTGGAAAGGCAGGGGTCCCAAAAACAGCCTCTGGTCCAGCAGGGCGTGTACCCCACCCTTTATCGCCACTCCTCATACACGTGAACCCTTCAGCACAAACTAAACCATCACTGGCTGGGAGAGACGTCCTGACAGGTAAAACCCTCTGAAAGCACACCCCACTCCTTCCTCCCAACAAGCCTCAGACTGACGTGGACGGTGATTCTCCCTCCGGCCCTCGGAGATGTCAGAAGAGCAACCACAATGTGGGATGGCCGAGTCTGACCCCCACGATCGCCACGAAGGAGAACCGTCCCCGTCAATGGCTTTCGGTACCTCAAACGACCCCGTGGTCACACACTGTCCGCCCACACTGCTGCTCCTACGTGTCACCAGGTCCGACATTCATTGTAGAAGTCGTGGGGCGATTTAGGGGAACAGGCTGTTAGGGGGTGAGGGAAGACGGAGTCAGCGCCCCGAGGTTTAGCCCCCCCCCCAAAAAATGCCTCTGGGTTTTCTCGATTGTCCAACGTGCCTCGTGTCACCGTCCTGCTGCACGCCTGCTCACGACAGACAGCGGCCACGGCAGAGGCACCAAACAGCAGCGCTAACCTTCCTCCCAGCCCCGCTGTGCCTGCACCCACGAGGAAGCCGCCGTTCAGGACACCGTGCACCCCATCTCCAGGAAACTCCCACAAAATGCTCACGTCCCCCGGGGGACTGGGAGCTCGGGAAGCTGGGAAGCTTAGTGGCAGGGAATGGCACCTGCCAAGGTAAAGGTATGTGGTTCGAATCCCCCAGCTGCTCTGCGCAGGAGAGAGGGGGTGGTTTCCTCTTGTGGGATTGACTGCCTCTGGAAACCTGCTGGTTTTCATCTGGAGCTTGGCCGCCACCACCACCACCACCACCATGACATTTGTATGACGACACGTCTCTCGAGCTGGCCAGAGAGATGTTACATGCAAACTGCTATCTACCGCAGCTCAAACTATCTACAGTCACACTACATCCAACCGACGTAAGTTAGCACAAATCTCACAAGCACTGCGTTCCTGATCCTGCTTTGCCTGATACTGAAGTCGAGTCCAAGTTCACGGCCACTCTCCAGCTTCCGCTCTTCAGATGAACAGAGCTGGTGTTTGACAGGCCTTGGCAAAGCCATCAGGGAACGAGAGAGGGCAGGATTAAAGAGACGGCAAGTTACCTGAGCGCCAAGCATTTTCTGTTCTTCCTGGGACGCTGCCAGCAGCTGGGACGCTCTGTGGGGCCCGCCGGGCTTTTTTTATCAGCTCTAATTAAGTGCTTGGAAATCAGGCTCCTTCAAGAAGAATGACCTCCAAATGGGGAGACCCAAGTCCTAGTCCCTTTTTTTTTCTTTCCTTTCTTCAAGCAATTCTCTTGATGGCGGGGAGACAGGACCTGCAAGGTGAAGGGGAAATTCACTGTGAGAACTACAGTGACACGCAGGCTGGACGCAGACACTGCTCCTGGGTCTCTGCTTAACACAAAGCCCTGCATACTTTTCACTGTCCTCTGTGTTGGAGCTCATAGCATTTCACCTATGAGCAATACAACCCAAGGTCCAGAATTTACAGAGATACGGGCGACAGATGTCTTCAAAAAAATGGTAGGTGGACACTCAGACACACATGTACAAAGAAAAAAAAAAGATCTTAAGTTTGATCCCTACTTCCCAACATATGAAATGATCAAATAATGGTCAAGCGTGATCAACGAAGATTTAAGAAGCTAAGTTTACTTTGGGGTTTGGAGACATTTTAAACATATCACATGAAGCACTAACTATAAACTTTTATAAACTATAAATAGTACTTAGTTGGAAGATTAGAAAGCTGTAAAAACTTAAGAATCATCAAGCTGTCCATACACTTTAAAATAACTATGTGACAAAACAACTATGAGATATCATCTCACCCCAGTCAGAATAGCAAAATTTAACAGACAGCAAACAACAAATGCTGGCGAGGTTGTGGAGAAACTGGAACCCTTATTCACCGTTGGTGGGAGTGAAAAATGGTGCAACCACTGTGGAAGGCGGTATGGCGCTTTCTCAAGAATTTGCAAATAGAGATACCATTTGACCCAGCAATTCCACTACTGGGAATATACCCCAAAGAGACCATAACTGCCACCCAAGCAGATATATGCACACCCATGTTTATTGCAGCTTTGTTCACAATAGCAAAGAGCTGGAAACAACTTAAGTGCCCATCAACAAATGAATGGATACAGAAGCTGTGGTATATTCACACAATGGAATACTATGCTACACTGAAAAACAAGGAACTCATGAAATATTACACAAAATGAGTGATCCCAGAGGACATTATGCTGAGTGAAGTATCTCAGTCACAAAAGGACAAATATTGCATAGGGCCACTGTTGTAAAACAGGACTGACATCAGGGTTGAGGGAAGACAGAAAAGGAGGGGAGGAATGATGTATACTGCATTGAAACAGATGAGGGAGAGAACTATTTAAAAGGAACATATGATTGGGTATTACTGTCATGACAGGAGTCCAGAATGAAGGCTGCACAGTGGAGTGGACTTGGGGGGAGGGACTGTATAACAATGAAAGAATTTTACTTTTCAAAGAGAAGAGCGAACTGGGGAGTTGGGGAGGAGTGAATGGAAACCCTAAGTCTCTGTAAACTTTCATTAAAATTAATTAAAAAACCCCCACAACTACGTAAGAACGAAGTACAATAAGCATATTGAATGAAGAGACACATAACCAGTCTTTGGAGGTAAATTATCAGTGAACCCAATGGGATGGTGAGGACCACGTCCCTGTGACCCTTCTAACTTCCCTAACTCTCATCAAATGACTGGGTTGGACGATGTGGTGCATCAGGAGATCGGCCAGGTCGCCAATAACGAACACGACACCGCTGCAGGGCAGAAAGGACAAGGGGAGAAAGCTGTGAGCTGGAGCCCAGGGCAGTTACGCCACAGAGGCCGCTCGCACAAGGTCCACTGAACCGACGCAGAAGTGTGGCTGGTTTGCCATCACCTCACTTGCAAACACTTTGGGCCTCGTCTCAGGAGGACCTGGTCCTCGGAAAACCACCACCTGCTGGGAAAGGTGGAAGGTCAGAGAGGAAGATTCTCGGGGAGGTGGCCTGACACAGTGACTGTCACAAGGGGCTTGAGCGTGTCAGAGACGCGGGGGACAGTGCAGGACCCGGCGAGGTTCCGATGTGCTGTGCACGGGGGTCACCAGGAGGCCCAGCTGACTCACAGCACTCAGCTACACACATTCAAACGATGCACCTCTGTGGTGCAACTCAAGACGCTGGCCAGCCTGCAAGGTAAGAGGCATTTCAGGGATTGCCTAAAAACAAAACAAACAAAAAACAACCAACCGAATAAACAAACCAACACACAAAATAAAAGCAAGGAAATCTGTGTGAGAGAGAATTGTGAAGCCTAAATATTTACTATACAACAAGTTTGCAAATGCTTGTTAAAAAAAACTCTGGGAAAATGAGGAAGTTCTGGTGGCCTAGTGGCAAGAAGCTGCG